TTTTTTCGTAACGATAATTCTCATTTCTAAACATTAACTAGAAGCATTTACATCATGGGTTCGTAACGTAATTTTGAAACTATATGAAACGGTCCTACTTATGTTTTTATAACAGACGAGCGTTATTTCGGATGTTTAATAATAAAAATAATAATAATTTTTATAACAATAATAATATCGTCTTATGTGTACTCGTGGAAGAGTCGTATATTCTGCACGTACATTCATATACGTGTTCACGTAGACGCACGCACTCGCACACTTGTAAGTGTAAACATAAGCGCGCCTAGGGAGAGAGTTTAGGCCCCCTAAATATTTTCATAGCCCTCCCAAATCAAAAACGATGAGCCCCGAGTTTTTTGTTTGATATTGAGATGATCATCTATATCTGTAATCTCGATACGCAAAATAACTGTGAAGTTGTTGTTCAGTATATGATGGCTTTCGTTTTACTTAGGAATATCTGAAATCAAAATTTGGATCACAAAATCACGATTTTTCGTGTGTTGGCTATACGATTAAAATTGAACCTATGTAGTGAGTAATAGCAAACTTCATCTGTACGATATAGATGAGGGCTTGGGGGTTTAGCCCTGTGGAGGGTCAGTGTTATCTAAATATTTATTACCACCCCCCTCAAACGTGAGCTACGCCTATGTGTGTAATAAGAACTTGCCTTGGGTTTGGTAGGGAACGGGGATTCCTGGATAAACAGTCGATCGAGAAGACGTGAAAGGGTGCATCGTGGGTTGAAGTGTAACAAACGCGTTAAACACGTTACACGATACGTACGTTCGAGAAAAAACAATACCTATGCACCTACACGCGGCGCGCGCTCACCCGTTGTTCGTCGCCACACGAGTTTCCGACGATTGTTGCCGTCGACGTGTACACTTCGGGATCTCGCAAAATGCCACACGAAAGGCGGCTACAGCATTTGGACCGTGAACGGGCATAGTGAACAGTTGAATTAAAAACGTAATTGTTTCAAACAAATTTGCGGGCCCAAAACAAGTCCCGCGACGGGTAAAGATTGCACCAGAAAATTGCGGTCGAATCGTTTATAACGATGTGAATTGCGCGTTTTCAGGTGCCGCAGCCGCGCGTGTATTCATAGACGTGTATACATATACATATATGTCTGTGTGTGTGTTCACGAGGCGTTTTAGTTCGGTCGACGTGTCGGATAAAGGGGTTGGGGGTGGAAGATTAAGGGAAGGATTGTGACTGGGGAAGGAGGGCGCAGGTGCGTTTTAATTTAAACGGAATGCCCCGCCGCGTCTCTTCGACGCGTTCCTAGATGTTCATCGGGTGGCAGGCGCGGACCGGAACATTCCAAACGTGCCGCAGAATACACTTTTATATATATATAATATAAATGTAAGATCTCGGGTGGAAAAAAGTATACACCCCCAACCCTTTCATCCAAGAGTTCTTCTTCGTCTTTCTCTTCCTCGATATGGTCCTTCGACCACTTCGCTTTTCGTCCTTCCCAACAACCAACGACATATTATTTCGTACAATACCGTTAACGATACAGGTTTTTTTCTTTTTTTTAAATATTCGTTTATTTATTTTATCGTCTTAGAAAAATATATATAAATATTCAACCACGCTCAAGTGTCGTAAATCACGTGAGATTTTAATTAGGCAGCAATTTCATGTATATATGCATATTATTGCTTTTGTATTGTACGGTGTTACGAGTATAATAATATACGCGCTGAGATAGTGCATTGGACGATCATTTTCGATATTAATTTTTTCTTTTTTTTAGAATTTAAATTCCCGGCCAAATCTAATAAGTATATTTTTTTTTTTAGATGTAATAGGACATAATATTTAATCCAAACTAAGTCGTTAGGTTATACATAGAAAATCGATGGTGTGTATAATAAATATTATAAATATACAAAGACACTGACATCGTTATCGATAAAATATGTCTATACGAAATGGACGAAAAAGAAAATTGTGTGTAAGTAATGTTTCAATATCCGATAGCGTTCCGTGGCCTTTCTATACTATTTTTATTTTTTTTATTTAAAATGTTTACGTAATGGTTGGAGTCATCGAAGTCTCTATAACTGTATTTACCGTATTTAACAAATAACAATTTTTATTATTTGAGAATATTTTTCCAGTATCATAATAATTATTATCGATGACCGTCGTGAAAAAAACGAAAAAACAATGTCTTGTATGATATATGGCTTTGAACAATATTGCTTGGTTACAACAACGATTTCTGTTACATTATAGCCTATTACCATATCTATTTTAGCCTTTTCGTGACCAAAGGACCCTCAAGACCATAACTTGATTTCGATAAATAACTTCTGAGAGTGACATATTGGATTAATGACTTTTATAGTTATATCCATGTGACAATTAATTTCTCAAAAATCATAAATTTAAAATTGTAAAATATTGATCAACGTTTGTCCAACACATACTTTTTAACTCGACGCCAGACTAATACTTTCGGCGAATTATATATTTTATAATCGTAGTAGTCATAAACTTCATACACAACATAATCTCATTGACTTTCGTATAAGAACTTAACTTTTTAATATTATTTTCAATGTTTTTATCAGAATTATCAAGAGGATTTGTATTTTACTCAAAAATGGTTAAATCGCCTGAATGCAATTTTATAGCTTTCAATACACAATTAATAATTAAATAACAATACACATTGTTCGAGCCACACATACTTCGCACCGTTGGCACTCGTTCCACATGATTCGCGTGTCCAAGGAGGCTTGATATCGGTCCATTCTGATCCCGACCTCGAGTCTCACCGATTATCGTGCGCGACGACATCGATGATGCGTACAACGGTGACTCGCCACTTTTCATTTTCAATTCCTTTTTTTTTTTGTCTTTTACTTTTTCTTTCTTCGCGTCGTGGTACTGCTTTGACCTGTGTACGTTTTGTTTTTCTGCTAATCAAGCATTTTCGTCATCGTCGTTACATTCGACATAAGTGCGTCCTCGCCGCCACCGTAATTAATTAACGTGTGTGCGCCTTCGCCGCCGCTGTTCAAAACGGCGGGTACGTTTGTGTTGTTACCCGGTTCGTGTGTGCTGTTTGATCATTGCTTGTCTGCAACTCCCATCTCATGATGTCAAGAATGATGTCCATCGTCGGGTGATAGTCAAATCGCTAATTATTATTATTATCATTGTAACAAGTCTATGATCAGCGAATGAGCTTCTGGTCATTTATATTATAAATATTTGTTGACTTATTACCATTCTGGAGCGCCTCATAAATTCAATATTTGTATATTATTATTTATCATTATAATTATTAAGCGCAACACGCATCCAAAGTATGCCTTGTTGTTGTTTTTCAATCATTAACGTCGAATCGTACGATCGGTCTTCAATATACCTATCCCGCTACCAAACCCGAAACTTGACGGTTAACCACCACAGTCGTAAGAGCCACCACGGCGTAAACACACACACATGTATATAAATACATAGTTTACATTGTACTTCTGTTTAAAAAATATAATTCGAACAATTACATCCGTACTTTCAACGTCCGCGTTCTCGTCCCGTCGAATCGTACGGACTTTTGGCACCACGTCGATGGCGGATAGTTTCGAAACACGCGCGTACACGTCCGTCGGAAAAGGTCTTTCGAGGGTAACCGCGGCGATGATGTATTATTTATAAACGAGGGGCGAGACGCCCTGGAGGGATGCGGTCGACGGTACGTCTCCCGGTGACGGGATAGCGCGCGCGCGAGAATAACAAATATAACCGATTCGTCAATGTTTAATGTGACAGCGGCCGAAAGACGACGACGAGCCACGGACCGTTCGGAGACGTCGCCGGGTCAAGTTCTGGTGTAATCCCATGGAAAACACTCGCGCGATTCGCCCACAACAAACACGGCCGCCGCCGCCGCCGCCCTTACGGTAATGCACGCGGACAAATAAACTAATAAGCGAAACCCTTTCTCGGACGGGTTAAGCCTCGTGGCAATTACGTTGTGTCCAAGGATTAGTGACGGTCCTCCTTGGCTCGCCGTTCGGTTTTCCGAGTGCATAAGATGTCGTGCCTACGCCGTTGACGCGATCTTATCGAGTATCCTTCGAACTCTGTTTTTCGTGTTTTTTTTTTTTAATCATTACCGTTTCCTCCGTCGCGCCGCGCGACGACGACCTCTGCAGAACCGTATTCAATTTTCGATTGTTCATATCTAACGCCAACATTTTGCAATGTGTTTACGAAACAAACACGTACAATTGTGCGAAAAACACGTACATCAAATATCTACCGTACACCCAATGCTGGTTTAAAATCCCACACCAACAAAAATTTACATTCATGTTTATATATTATATAGTTTCAGAATAGACAATTGTAAATGTATTAATGTATATTACGCTCAATCAGAAGTACAATTGATGTCCACGATCCTTTTGGGTGTTTTGAAATGTAAAAATTATTATGGTTTTAACGTTTTAGAAAATGTGTCCTTTGTATTTATTTTCATATGCATAGTCTACAACGACCATATCTATACAGCAGTCTATAATCGCATTTTGTTTTCAATTTATATTGTTTAATATTTTAATATTATCATTCGATTTCGATGTTGACCGTCAATAAATGCAAAAATGCGATTTAATTTAAAACGCGCAAACAGTGAATGGACCTCGAAAGAAAAATAAATATTCCTCGGTATGTAAATAACACTTGAAGTCCATCCCGTAGTGTACATTAAGTGTTACAACATAAATATTAAAACATCAATGAAATAGGTTGTGATGTAAGGGTTTGTTTAGTAACGATTGTATAATTCATAGTTTCGCGAGGAGTAATGTAATAATATAACATAACATTAGAGAAGTGTTTGCAGCGTAGGTATAGTTCAGCATAATACAGGGATTGACACTTAAGAGCTGCGTCCGACTGTGAAAAATTGAATTTTAAAACTGAAGTTTATTTATACATTTTTTTTTTCTTTTTTGTAGACATGAAGATGAGCAAAGTGGGCAACCAAACCAACTCGCAAGATCCGCAGGCAGTAAATTCTCGGGTGTTCGTGGGAAATCTCAACACATTTCAATGTAGTAAAACCGACGTCGAACGAATGTTTCAGCGATATGGTCGTCTAGTGGGTGAGTAATGTTCACATTTTTGTTTTGAATGCTTTTCATCGAAAATAAATACTAAATACGGAAATCGGTTGACGATGATTGAATCGTGAAATGACAAATATTTATACTAAACGATTTGTCATTGATTTTCACTGGTAACACGTGAAAACGATGTTCACATAACCAACTTTGTTTTTTTTTCTATATGTATTTAATTTAATATTTTTAACGTTGTTTATTATTTGAATATGGAGTGATTAATATTTGATAATAAAAAGTTCAAAGCATACGTGTTATTACGGTACACGTATCGGGCACAGTGACAACTATGCCTTTGACCGGTTAATTTAGAAAATATTTCAGCCGGCAGGTATAGTTGGTGAGTGAAATTGCTCATAGATACCCGAAATTCTTAACATTTTATACAGTCATACTCCGATGTCGTAATTTGGTTTGCGTCGTATATTATACACGTACACGTATAATTTGTATTATCCCATCGCGATGCAACGTAAGAATTCATTAAATTATCGTACATGGTTCGAGTGAACTACTAGAATTTAATTTTAATTGTTTTTCGCGATTCGCATAATTACAATAAAATTGGCTCTGTCGTAATTTTTTTACGCGTTGTCTTCAACACATAATGATACCACATGAAGACCAATTTACGACGGCAACATTTTGTAAACGTACATTGAATTTTCGTTTCGATTCCACACCCAAGACACACCTCATGCGTGAAACTTATTTTTCTATTAAATATTATCAAACACAAACTTCCGATTTCCGTGCAACCTATTTTAAAACGCATCTCGAAGTGTAGTTTGTTTGCTCACCATTTTTATAACTACTTTTAATAATTTATCTTTAACACGTAACGTTTTAAACGTGCACCGTTATAATTCCTTACCTGACCGAATTTATATCGGATCTGAAATCCGACAAAATAAATTCAAGTTATTCGCATCTACGTGTGCGGACGTTCGACAAGTCGAGCGTGCGAACCCTATTGTTTATTATTTACCCTATTACCTTTCGTATCCGATAAACGGTCGGGAAAAGGAAAACAACCGAGCTTTAAAACACATGTTATTTTTTAATTATTTTATTCGATATCGCTCCGTTGTCGACTAATACTATTATTTTATATCGCACTTGTTGTTGTTGTTGTTCGTATGGACGATTTCCGGCAAACGTTAAGAACTCCGTAAAAATGATTTGTTCTTCACCGCTCGTAGTACACCGAGTCGGTACAGCTGTTTGTACATAGTCGCCGCGTATAGTACAGTTTCGGGAGAGTTTATCTCGTATAATGACGAATTCTTTGGGTTCCGAAGTTTCGATAATGGAATTCGCATGATGGAATAGTCCAAAGCTCGCGGTGCTCCCGGCAACGGAGCAAGTTATTGATAAATTTGACGGGACCAGCATCGGCCGTTTTATATAACGTAGACAACCTCGCACCGAACATCTATCGCGGGGACGTTTCGAATATTTAGCGCGAATTTCTCGTCGAAATGATACTACTATTATTGTTATTATTTATTATTATTATTATTATTATTATTATTATTATAATCCCGGGGAGGGAAACCGTTTTAATTTTTTTTATATTTTTTATTTATATTTGTTTCAATATTACTACTATCATTGCGAAACAATAATTTATCCTCAGTCGTCGCGTATGCGCATACGAACGTACGATGTCGTGTGCGCAATGCTATTATATGTACGTACGCATTTATATACCGTATACCGTGTCCGCGGAAAAGGTGGTCGGACGGACGGGTGGGTTGTTTTAATACGTCGCGCGCGCATACGCTCCGAACACAATGCGGCGTTAAATTAAAACTGGGCAATATACACACGTATATGTATATATGGAGCAGCGTTGAGCGATTTGACGGCCGGCGGCGTCGGACGACGCACAATGGGGCGCGCGGCCGATAAACGCGCTACCCCCACCCTCGCCCACGAATGCCGGCACAAAAGATAATGCGCTCATCACCGCCGTCCACCCTCCCCGAAAAAGTCACCCCCTTCCACGAGTCGGCCGCGTTCGTTTCCACGTTTGGCCGATTCATATATCGTATCTCGCGGCGTCCGTCCACACACACACACGCGCACACCACTCATCCCGTACACACACACACATACACATATACCGGTCGTATCCATGCAATAATCGTTTACACGTGAAGATAGTGTTACCGCCACCAAAGGCACAACTAGGAGGGCGCAATAGGGTTTTTAGCACACCTGAGTTCAAATATATATATCAGATCTATATAATCTATAGTAATTACAGTTAAATACCAATAAATTTTATTTTCAGCAATTTCAGCGACCCAAATATCTGGGCTCTAGCAGTGGCGTAGCCAGGATTTTTAAATGAGGGGGGGGGGCTAACTACTTTTTTGGATAAGTAAGGTAAGATAGGATATGAGAATTCACCCTTAACCCCCCTCACCATCTACCACCAAGTTTCTAAATGTAATTCAAGCATTTTAGTTTAGTTTTAAAAATATTTATTAATATATAATTTATAATAATAATAATAATTTTGGTTTCAGTATTCAGACACTTGCTTCACTCTGACAGCTGCATCCTCTTAGGCGAATTTCTGGCAAATTCAGTTATTATTTCACTTTCATCGAATTGCTCTTTTTTATTTATATTAGCCATAGCTAACCCATTCAGTCTGTTTTCCGACATGGTGCTTCTTAAAAAAATTTTTAAGCGATTAAGTGCTGAAAACGTTATTTCCGGAGTGATAGAGGTAACTGGTAACGTGGCGAATAATTGTAAAAGTATTTTAATGTTAGTTCGAAGATTGGTGCGATGAGAGAGTGAATCAAGAGCAGAATTCGGTTTTGGAATAGTATTTTGACTCTATTGTTGCCGCCATATGAACAGGTTAGCTCTGATTGTAGATGAGGTATCATCATGGAGATCTTGGACATATATTTTAACAGGTTTTATAATATTTTTATCGTCATACATATTTAAATTGGCCGGAATAAGTCCTTCAAGTGGCATAACATCAATAAGCCTTTGATTAAAACGAGCATCCATTGATTCTATTAAATAGTCAAGATACATTATACATATAAACACGGCCCATGGGAGGGCTATAGCCTCCTTAGCCCCTCCCCCCCCCTTGGCTACGCCACTGGGCTCTAGTTGCGCCCATGACCGCTACACGTACGTGTATTGTAATCATAAAGCGCGATGCTTTTTTTCTTGGTAATACGTGACAATTAGTTCGGTATGGCCTTATGTATTGCGTTGTTAAGGAGAAAAAGAACTACGACGCGCGGCTATAGGATTTTTTTTTGACAATCTCAGTTTGCACTCTTTTAGTGGGGGAAGGGGGAAGGAAATCTGGGAAAAACTTTGTACCCGAAGGAAACGCCATTCTCTGCTGATCGGGCGCATACACAGAAAAATATTTTGGTGAACGTTTTAAGAGCGACTCCAAGGATTATGATCGCAACGATTGTCGGTTAACGATTATCAATATGCGGACAGACGATTTGATTTAGTTACCTTTGCCAATCTAATAAACATCACGTAGACGAAAATTACTGATTTTTTAAGTGGGTGTATAAAAACATTTTCTTAAAATGTCATGACAGGTTTGAAACCTTAACACCCCCGTTTGTATACACACCTGCTGTTGGTTAACAGTGTCTTATACAAATAACTACATACATTTTAAGCCCAAGTTACCAACCCCGCTCATATTTCATAACAAATTAATATATTTTTTTTTATAAGTTTCTTGTTATTTAGGTTACCTGCAATTTTAAATAGATGATAAACTTTATACTATTTTGTTCTATGTAATTTATTTGATTTAAAAAATTTCGATTTTAATTTATAAATATTTGTGTTTTTTTTTTTTTAGTAAACCGAGTGAATTTTTAGTTTTTCAAATTATATTTGATGCTTTGAGGTGAATATACTTATAACAGTACAATTATTATTTTTATATTGAAGAACTGCGACTATGTTTCTGAAAAACGATTCGTTTCATACAACCGTTAGTTTTGAGAAACAGACTTTTCAATCGTTTAAAAAAAGCGACATTATGATATTCTATTAAAAATGTTACGGAATTATTATATGTCTATGATGTCAATCAGAAGAATGTATAGTTATTTTTATTCCTAATAAATGATGGTTTATTGAATTTTAACCGTTTTCGATTCATAACATTATATATTATAATAACCGTTGAATAAATTGCAATAAATTTTCAGCGAAAAAAGGTTCTGCCGTAACAAACAAAATTTAAAAAAACCAATCATATTTTGTAAGTTTCGTGAAACGGAATAAATATTAATTGTGCGTAAATATTTATAATGTGGGATTTAAGTAATAAAAATCACTCACAATTTAATTTAATTAAAATAGACACTATATTATATAAATATGTATGTACAAATATCGATACGCGTTACAATTGCGGAGGAATTGCCGAATATATCGCGGAGTGGAATTCACGGTGTGTCGCGGATTGTACTCACGGACTGATTGAATGACCGTCTGACCAGCCGGTATATATATATCGGCGTCGATTGTCTAGAACATTCTCTAAATTACCTTAACGAGATAATCGTCGCATATTCTAGAACATGGGATTTCCCCTTATCCACTGACAATATTGTAAACAACTTGGACGATTCGCGGTGCGTTGTTAACTTCACCACAATAACATTGTATACTGATCAAATAAAATTATCTAGTTGTCTAATTGGTAATTAAATAAATAATAAATAAATAGCGATTGGAACTAATTATAAAATAATTAATCATTTCATAAAACGATTTAATATGATAAATTTGCACGACAGAAAACATTTTTCAAAGTCAATGTTAATGTAAATATTATTATAAAACATCTCGCAATCGTACGAGTATAAGTATGAATAATCAAGAAGATACAAAACGTAACGCAGTATTCGATATTGATCACATACAACTAGGTAAAAGGAGGTTATCTCGCCAATTTATATAAAGAAGTACTTTAAAACTTTGAAACCGCTGTCAAAAGACCAATTTCACGCATAGAAGATAATCGGAATGAAATTCATGTATTCGTCGAGGGTTGCGATCGGCCAACACTTTCTGCTCATTTCGAATGTATGGATCGACAAAACTTGTTAACATCCCCATAGCATTTCCAAAAAGGTAAAGGCGGAAAACCATCCCTCCTTGATAGACTTCTAGACCGCATGCACACGCTATGGTACCGGTCGGCCCTGTAAAATCATATAATACAGGGGGAAAGACGGGAAGAAAATTATTAATTTGAGTATCGTGAGTTGTCAGCGACCGTAAAAAATATTACGCTCCTTTGAAACTACCACAGTCACGTATACCATAGCGATACCCTAGGGATTATTGGAATTTAAACACGTCATATAAAGTCAGTAACCAGCTGTAAACACTAAATCAAAAATCAGAAAAAATATTTTATTACACACGTATATATTTCCAGAATGAAGCCAAACGGTATTCTGATTACCATCTAGTGGTTTCGAAAACAGTACTTATGAAATAAATAAACATATATAACGACGCAAATATAACATGTATTAAGTTTGGTAACGTAGTAACGCGCAATGCAGCAGAATTCGTATTCGTTTTGTTCACATAAGCTCGGTGAGGTCGTTTTGTGACTATCGGTTACGATTTGAAAGATTGCAACCCGGTGATCGCTCTTCCCAATACCAGACCGTGAATATCATAAGTTCCTTCGTACGTATTTACAGTTTCCAAATTGATCAGATGTCTAATCACGTGGTACTCGTCGCTGATCCCGTTTCCCCCAAGTGTGTCCCTGGCCAACCTCGCGATGTCCAACGCCTTTCCGGTAGAATTTCTCTTTATCAGCGATATCATTTCTGGGGTGGCCAATCCTTGTTCCTTCAACCTCCCCACTTGCAAACACGCCAGCAGACCAATAGATATTTCCGTGACCATGTCGGCATATTTTTTTTGAATCAACTGTGTGGCGGCCAACGGTTTTCCGAATTGTTTACGGTCCAAGCAGTACGATCGGGAAACGGACAAGCAAGCTTCGGCGGCTCCAAAGGCTCCCCACGCGATTCCGTAACGGGCGTGATTCAAACAGCCGAATGGTCCTAAGCGGGCAATGATAAATACGAACAAGTTAGAGTTAAAACTAACGATAAACACAGTGACAAAACTACTTCTTACCTCCCATGCCCACGACACCGGGCAGCAGACTGTCTTCGGGCACTACGCAGTTGTCCATGTACACCGATCCAGTACTGGATGCTCTTAACGATAGTTTTCCCGGTATGACGGCCGTCGTGAGCCCCGGTGTACCTTTTTCCACCACAAACCCTCTCACCCGTCCGTCTTCGCATCTGGCCCAAACTATGAACACGTCGGCTACCGGGGCATTCGTTATCCATGTCTTAGCACCGTTCAGCGTGTACGATTTCGTTTCGGAATCATACTTGGCCTTGCTCTCCATCGTTCCTATGTCACTGCCGGCATTTGGCTCGGTTAGACAAAAACTTCCGACCAAATCTGCAGTGGCCAGTTGCGGTAGATACCGTTCCTTTTGATCGTCGGTGCCGTACGCGTGAATCGCGTGCATGACAAGGGACGACTGAACACTCAGCGCCGATCTAAAACGACATCGATCGTAAAATTTTAATCAAGGTTTATCTGAAAATAAATTGATTCAACCTATAAGCACTGTCGACTCTCTCTACTTCTCTTGCTATGAGACCGTATCCGACCTGGGACACTTTGACACACCCATATTCGCCAATAGTACATCCTAATGCACCCATAGCAGCCATATCTTTTAGCACTTCTTTTTCGTACACACCATTGCGATTTGAATTCAAAATTCTGGGCATAAGAGCTTTTTGACAGAAGTCTCTGAATGAAGTTTTCAACTGTCGTTCTTCCGATGTTAAATTATGATCGAGATTTAACGCGTCTTCCCAATCGAAACTTGCTGTACTTGACGCGTTACGCGCGTTACAACGCAGTAAATATCGCCTTATGACTGCGGTCGATGCTAGCTTCTAAAAAACAAGTTTAATAATCAAAGATATTAACTACTTAAAACATTGAAAACATTGCGCGTTCAAACTTAATTATGACGATTTACCGAGTATTTTATTCAAATATTTATGTGCTGAAAACAAAGTATGTTTTTGACTCATTGGGCAATACAAATTTATAACTCAAAGCTTATTTAAAATTTATTTTTATTTTAATGAATGTTATGAAAAATCTACACACGATTTAAATAAACGATTTTATTGAATTTTTATAATACATTGAAATAAAATATGAACCATTTGGGAAGTACAATTGATACGATTTTAAAGGAGAACGATTCGTTGTTTGACAAAATAATACAATAAAATGTTATAACTTTTACTTAATTTGAATATGATAAGTTTCAACTTAAATAAAAAACGAATGATTTCGGCTATATGGCCAAAAATAAAAAAAAGACGGTTTGTAGCAGAAAATGGAAACGTCAGAAACATATTTATTTGCCCACAGTGTTTTACATATTTAAAATATGTGTCTTAAACACGCAAAAAGCTTGCACGAGTTGTGTTTTAAACAATTTATTTGATAAAATTAGTGACGATTTGTAGTATTTTAATATATTTTTAATACCACATTATTGATCACCAAACATATTTACACTTAGCATAACAATCAAGAGTCTGATAAACAAGTAGAGTACCTACCTATATATATATGTATATACCCGTATATATTTTAAGTATAACTAAACAATAAATTTTATAACGAACACTCTGATTATAAACTAGGTAAAACAAATTGGGTATTAAAATTATAAATTTTAAATGCAATTGTGTTACATATTTCTATATCTTAAAATAATACATAAATATATAAACGAGTATTTTTTTATACAAAAATTATTCTATAAGAAAATGTAGTTAATAAAAATAAAAACATATGAAATGACCAAGAATAGATATTATAATTTAAATATTTTATGGAATTATTTAAGTACAAAACTTCACCCTATTTGAAAATGTCAAAAGTGCAATGAACGATTATAATTATTTAAGTTACTGGTTATACGTACATCGTCATCTCAGTTAAAACATATACATATTGTATCCTGTTGAAATATTATAAAATAGCATGCTTATACATGCTTAGTAAAAGTAATTATAAACACTGATATACATTGCCCTCTTTTTTTTTTTTTTTTGTCTTCCAGTGGATTTAATATACCGAACGTATTATAACGCAGGAAGAAGCGGGAATAATATGAGGGAACATCGTAATTTTAGCCCTTTAAATAAAATACAATATCGATCGATGTACCATCGTTAATGAAAAAATACCATAATATTGAAAGTTTCTATATTTTTCATTTAATCCTTACCGAAGTAATTGGTCTTGTCAAAGAACAACTTGATGACTAACAATAGTGCCGAACAAATTATTATAAATTTCATCGCGAATTTAAGTATTATAGAAATCATCAAGGACATGAGTACGAGCATTCGAATGTTTTATCGTTTTTTTTTTTTTTTTTTTTTTTTTTTTTTTTAAACGTAAACGGTTTAATAGTACGATATACGTCACAGATAGGTCATGGACAAACGTTTAAACTTTACATCTTAACCGAACACGATACGATACGAGTGAGACAAACGAAAATTCCTCGAGATTAGCGCCAAACTGTACGTAATAATGGGACGTCATACTGGAAATCTGTGACGTTTGAAATGTATTACATAATCACTGAATTACAAACGCAAATCGAACAATCTGATGTTTTTGCAACCGCCATGTTCAGTCCAAAAATAATTATGAAGTCAATAATCATCGTTGAACACGATATTACGCATTAGTGAAACAACGGATCAGTTCTCGGGCACGGCGTTCATCGAAAACAAAGGTTTTGGCGAAGCTCTAACGACAGGTGTGTCTTTCGAGTGGCAAAGTCGCAGAACACCTGTGACCCGGAGTCTGCATACGCGTACACGAGATCATAGTGACCCGTGAAAAGAGCATTTACCTGCATGGTGACGGGTCGAGAACAATTCCGCTGTAAATGCCGAAGAAAGTACTCGGTTATTTACGCGGCGGACGTAGAACTGAAGGTTCACTGCGACGGACAAACTATCAAAACATTGGAATCGTGTTGTCACAGATAACCGTTATCGTCGCTTATCACGGACGTTCTCGGTGGATCAACGGGTACACGCGGCCCGGTGTGTTCGGCTCAGTGTCGCCAACGTACTGAACGACTCGGCCGCCGTCACTGCTACGATATATATTTATCTATGGTCATTGCTCGTGCGGACGAAAATGCCGATGTGCGACCAACGGACGACTCCCATGATCGTTTTGTGCCGTACGTAGTGGCGTACATTCAATCTTGTTCTGGGGGGAGGGATAACAAAAATAATCGTTATCTTTTTTTTTCGTTACACAGATAAATAAGATGCTATAAATAGATATCATTTTATACAACTTTTTTACCAATTTACGGTTTACTTTTACATTACAGTAAATTAATAGTTATTGGAATATAAAAACAGCATAGTTAACAAAACTTTTCAAACACCTATCAATATAATTATTTAATTATTATAATATTTGTATAGCTGTATATTTTAAGTCCAAATCATAATAATGAAACTACGAATATATTACATGTCATCAATTATAAAACAATTTTTTTTTTTTTTGGCCCTGGGGGGGTTTGAACTCGGAGCCCCCTCCCTCCCCCGGTGCGTACGTCACTAGTTGTACGGATAGTAGAACTGATTTATCTAAACCAGCATTTCTTAAACTGGGTTCCGTGGAACCCTGGGGTTCCACAAAGATCACTTCAGGGTTCGGCAAAGTTTAAGTAACTTTTTAAAAATTCTTAAGAAAACTACTTTAAAAATTTCAACTAAAGATTAATAACGGTGAAAAACTGTTTGCATTATAGAAAAAAATATTTGTATATTAAATAACAATGTATAAGTCATATAGAATAGTCTAAATTTATATTTAGTCTAATTAAAGTAATAATTATTAAAGTATTATAATATATATGTATACAATTATTATTATTTTAATGTTTATTTTAACATAATTTTTTAATTAAATAACTTTAACACAATATTATTAAATGATTATAATTTATTTATAAATAATCTTAAAAAAAAATCTAAAAAGCTTAAAAAAAAAAGTAGGAATCACACGATAAATGTGGATATCAAAAAGGGTTCCACGGATAAAAAAGTTTAAGAAACGTGCCGAAAGTCGGCGCACACATTTCAAAAAACTAACTGAAATCCGTCCGAGAGCGTTACGCACCATATGATTTGACCGTCAAGATAAATTGATAAGGTCACTTGAAATATCAAGTAAAAGTGTCGTCCGACTTCGATCCCGTCGGATCTTGTCAGGTGACCATCTGTTCGCCCGACCGATTAACCAAATAATTTTTGGTACGTAGCACTGTCGGGCGTTTTAACACGTTTGTTCCTAATTTCGACACCGTTAGTTTAAATATGCCAGTGTTGAATTGTTTTTACGTTTTCTTTAAAAGTTTTACGTTTTACAATGGTTGCTGTTATTATAGAGAGCAAAGTGATTTCAGAATCTTTAAAACAGTGTCAGTCTAGACCATCCGGATACCCGGCAATTGCCGGGGGCTCTGAGATTTATTTTTAAAATAGGAGTCCAACCTGTGATGAATCCACAGTTAGAGAACTATAGGTCAGACTATTTCAAGAGCCCATTTTTTAGAGCTGAAAGTGGATTATAAATGTATTCCTTGAAACAAAAAAAAACAATATGATCATATAATATTTGTTTTATAAGTTTCTTCATAATTATCATTGTAAACATTTACCTTATTTTATGGAATCCCTCACGGGTTCTGACATACAGATGTTTTGTTTTGTTTTGTTTTGTTTTACTATACTAAACCAGTGATATCATTTGGGGGAAGAGGTTGAAACTGGAGCATTTATCAGTTTAGTTTTAACTTTAATTTATAGTCGGCACACTTAAAAAATATAAGTCTTCTACAGGTCAATTTTGTCAAGAAATATTAATTGTCGATCATTTAACCTCCTGAACCTCTCATAATCCGCTCCCGGACTTAAAGCAACCATGAAAAATCTTAGTAATTATTTTCCTGAATTAAATTAAAATTATGTTATTCTTGACTTAATCTTGAAATATTGTTGACGTGATATAGAACTAGGTATAACCGCTAAAGTTTATACATTTTTATTTTTTGATCAAAATCGAACAAATATAAATAAAAACTGAGGTAAGGGTTATTAACGGTCACATATACGAACACAATGATAATTCGATAATATTGGCTTTGGAAAAATATATAAAAAAAAAAAAAAATTAGTAGGTATTTCATTAAATCTCATACCAATATTATATTGTTTAGGGTCGAATTGTAAATTTTTAGCCGGAGGCCCAATCATGAGCCAGACCGACACTACTTTAGAGCTATACAAATCATTCATTACTTTTACTCCGTAAATGTTAACAATAACGCTGTTCATTTACCAATTTCTGTTATACCGGATACCGGAACCATTATGGATTGTGGTTAGTGACATTTGTTCGAATTTGACTGACTAAACCGTATAGTGGTCTGTACTTGGATAATAAGTAAAACACAAATTGGTCAAGCTATTTGTCGGCCCGACCAAATCATATAGTGCGTAATATTTTACATTTTCGACTCCGTAACGTATTACTACAGACAATGCGATATAATAATGGAAGTCTCGCGGAGTGCAGCCGACGAGAACTATGAAATAAGATTATGCTCAAAAGGACTGTAAAAAAAAAGAAAAAAAACATCATTCGTATCCGTTGCACGTATGGTTTCCAAAGCACGACAAATCGCGACTCATTTGCTTTTTTTTTTGTGATCAGACGATCACCAATCTTTTTCCATCGTTTTTTAGTATCGCCCATTAAGATTATTAAAATTAATTAATAAATTAAAACAAAGTATCTATTAAATATTTTAGTAATTAGTGCTATAGATAAAAACCAAAATATTGTATTAATCTGATAATATTTTTGTTTTTTATTTACTTACGGGATTTTCCAATTTTAGTTGTAATATCTTTCCAGATACCATCTTTGATTATATTACTTCTATAATTCAAATCTGCAAGATCATATAAGACACAGAGTTGTGGAACAGTTGTGTCGTCGGCTGCGGCGACTGAAACTTTGGTCGCGATGACACTTCGCGCTTTGCAAACCAATTCATAAAATTTCAACAAAACTACAAGTAGTCGCTCACTTGAAAACCGTACGTTTAAAGGGAAAAAATACATAAATTGATTGCGTCGTTGCAAAAGTAACTACCGTTTTCTGACACTGTTGAACGGCGATGTTCCCATCAACATTGTTAAGATAACATAGTCATGACTATAGTACAAAATATTGTCAAGGTTTGGTACTATTTTTCAAAAGCGACCGTGCTGGTAATACGAACCTATAAAAATGTATAAACCCTTCAAGCGAACTTAGAGAACAAATGTTTTACTCGACTTTATGTAGAACACGTGTATTTGTGGTATTTCTTTTGCATTATCGAATATTAATTTGAGTACATTTAAAATATAACTTGAACGTTTCAACTCTAATAATGTGATCTTGAACTGCACAGTTATATCGTATTTGTCTATCTTCGATTGAAATGTTTATAGCGCAGAATATTTTATACGCCAGAGCTGCAATTATATTTAAGCAACTACCTACCCTTCGTCTTTACTAAATCCGTATTCTAAAATGTTTTCATTGGATAACAAATTATGATTTTTAAGCATATAGATCTGGAATTCATGTTCCATAAGATATACCTTGTTTGTAAACTGTATAAATATTGATTTTTTTTTTATAAACTATTTTAACTTACTATCCAAATAAGTGTTTCCTATGATAAATTATAAATATATATATAATATTTTAAATATAATTTTTCTTCATTGTCTGTAGAATATTATTTGCACTAATCATAACTGGATTTATTCAGCGTATTTCATTCTCCTACATGTGCATGTATGTCAAAAAGAAAACATAATGTCATTAAAATACGAAAGGATCAAACGCGGTTAACTGTAAAGTCTTACAGTACCGATTGGTTTATGTGATTATTTAATATTCTACCGTTCGATACCGAAAATATGTATACGTATAACATGCGACTATTTATGACTATACCATGAACATTTAAATAGGAATGATATAATTTAAATACAATGGATTCGGGGAAACGTACCAGACATTTAATTAAATTACATATCGTACTCTTTGTTGATATATTATTTAAATTTCGTAACTATTAAGTAAATGCATTTTTTATATATATATATTTATATGTGTTATCGGCAATATGGATAATCCGGTATTTTGCAAAATGCCAAAAATCACTCAGCAATATACATAATACGAGCTTTGCTTAGATATAATGTATGATGCCAAACGTGGAGTAGGCAATATGATAAAAACTAACAAAATTGAGCATCGCCTATTACCAACGACTTTAGTTATCGTCTATCATAAATGTGCGTCTACGATTAAACGCAATAAAGATTAATATTTTTTAATACTTTTACTACTATAATAATTAATCAGAGGTACAATAATGAACGTACTAATAATTTTATTACAATATTGTAATTTTTTTCGTCATTTTCATGTCTCGTTTTGGTGTTACAACTATGCATACGATTTATATGAAGTCAAATTTTTATAACAAACTACAACATTTTTTTAAAAATTTGGCCACTAATACTAGTTTTTTATCTGATGAATAATAAAATGAGTTGATAAAAATTCAATCCACAGAAATTGGTCAAAGATTTTTAAAATATGTTTGTAAGTCCAAGTGTCAAAATAAAAAGTGTATTTGCATTAAAAATAACATTTTATGGACTTCAAAATTTTATTTTTCTACAACATGTTATAATAAGTAAATAGTAGTTTAAGTAAAATATTTATATAACAGTTATCATATAATAATGCATAAAAATTCAATTTTGTTTGTAATATGAGTAATAATGTATTATAACATATAATAAAATGTTTTGTATGTTACCTAAAAAAAATTGACATTTTGCATAATGCCTAGGTATTTTATAAAATACCTAGGTTATATGTAAAATA